TCTGTGAGGACTGCAGGAAGGCTTTCTACTGCAAGTCACACCTCACTGTGCATCGGAGAACCCACACAGGCGAGAAACCCTATGAGTGTGGTGAGTGTGAAAAAGCCTTTCACCAGAAGTCATACCTCAGCAGGCATCAGATGACTCACCAGAATGAGAAGCAGTATGAATGTCAAGAATGCAGGAAAACTTTCTACCGTAAGTCATCCTTCACTGTCCATCAGAGAACACACCTGGGGAAGACGGCACGAATATGATGTATATGGAGAGCTCTTCCACCACGCATCAGAAAATGCACACAGGGGAATCCTCCCACAGTGATCAAGTGTGGGGACAGAGTTAGTGAAAAGGCACATGTCAGCAGATGCCAGGGACGCCAGAGAGAGAAGTCCCCGCAGCAAGCTCTGTGGTCCCCAGAATCCAGTTCTCTCTGGGGTGCTCAGCCTCCAGGGGGCTCCTCTCCTGTGTGGGCCCTGGAGCCGAGTTGCACGGCAGAATGTGTACCTGTGGCAGTCATTCCCCACACCCCAGCCCAGCCTAGCTCAGAACTTCTATCAGGTTCTGCTCCCTGAGTTCTCATGCATCCTGGGCCTCATGTGAGCATGAATACCAGGTGGCTGGCCTTGAGAGCCAGAGATAGAGGCACTGGGACTTAAGAGAAATGTAATTTATTGGAGAGAGCAGAGGTCTTTCTACTTGTATCCCAGAATGCTCCATTCTTATTTCACATGTGCAAGAAATACTCTGTTGGACCAGTGCATGAGCTATTTGCATTTCATTGCAAACCCACTGTAGTTAATTCACTTTATAAAGTTTCTAAGAGAAGTTGCCTCTCTTTTTATATTGCAAAAATTCCCACATGAGAGAAACCTGTACTGTCACCTTTGATTCCCAAGTCAGCTTATGGAAAATAGGAATAATCATATGGAAAAGTAACAAATTGAGAATGTCTTATCAGGCAGGTTACTTTCATGAACACTTTATGAATAAAGTAAACCTTCATACATTTCTTTAACTTGTAAAAGCTTTTACACACCTTCTGACTTTTTATGTATAAACTTTGTAATGAAGGAAAATTATCAGTATCTGTAATTTGTATGTTAATTTTCCAATGAAAGTGTTGAATATAGTATTGGAGATTATTTTAAATTATTTGACTATATGCCAGAAAATACTGCCTGTCAGAAGTCCTTATCATTATGTACAGAGTCACTGCAGTTGGAAGGAGGCAAGCAGGTGGCATAGCAAGATCCCATCTCAAAACAAAGAAGCAGATGGGTGCTGACTAGACTTGCATCAGGAATACCATAGAGGCTGCTCGGGGCCTTGCTGAGTTACTGTGGCTGGCTTTGAACTTGCAATGCTCCTTCCTTGGCCTCCTCAGCAGCTGGGATTACAGGAAGGCCTGTGCCACCTCACCCAGCCAGGGGGTCTCTCACATTTCCACTGTCCCTAAACTCTGGGTCCCACTGCTCTCCTTCATTTCCTGAAAGTTAATAAGACTGCTCTGGAAGGCAGGCAGATCTAAGTCCATCAGAAAGCCCCCTGAAGCATTCCTAGTCCCATCCTCACCACCCTCATGCCAGGGTCAGGAGATCAGATAGTGTGATTGAAAAGGCCTTGGACTTGCATCCAGCTTTGGGCTCTGGAGAAGGGATCAGGGAAACTGAAGCCTCAAAGAAACAGTGCCCACACTGTTATCCACATTGGACCTTCCTGACTTTGGAGGACCCACCTGAGTCTCCTTCCCTGGGCACTGCCTGAGAGGCACTCAGCCCAGCTCAGCTGCTGTCCTGTACCTTTTTCTCAGGCAGTCCTTGATCTCCATGAGGAGAGCAGGCAGGTGTCATGTGCAGGCCCAGTGCTCACAGTGGGCAGGCTGATAGGGTGTCTGTGAGTCTCAGGGAGGAGGTTCCAAGCCCTGAGACCTGAGGGCAGACTGGGATCATGTGCAGGCCCAGCACTCACAGTGGGCAGGCTTGTGTGGTGTCTGTGAGGCTCAGGTAGGATGTTCCAAGCCCTGAAACCTGAGGGCAGGCTGGTGTCATGTACAGGCCCAGCGATCACAGTGGGCAGGCTGGTGGGGTATCTGTGAGGCTCAGGGAAAAGGTTCCAAGCCCTGAGACCTGAGGGCTCTGTATAGGCTCCCTAACCATCAGGATCCTGTCCTGACTCCTGCCGCATTGCCCCCAGTCACCTCCACCATGGGTCCCAGCCACACCT